TTCATGCTGTGAAGCAACAGCACTACCTACTGCACTACCTACAGCATAACATTGCTTTGATTTTTTTTTTCAATTAAATTTAAGTACAACTTTTTAACCCAATGTTTGCCATATTTTACCCAGCATTGAGTTACGACAACACAGCTTTCTTTTACAGGGTATTGCATGATTATTTGGAGCAATTAAAAATGTTTAAATTTGAAGTTAATATTAATCATAAATGTTTATTTTCTCAAAGATATGAATAAAATAGGTGATCAAAAGGTAAACAACTGTATGTGTCAAAAATGAGACTGTAATTATTATTATTTGGACTTAAGGACACATGTTACATAATTAATGCATTCATTTTCCTTCAGCTTAGTTTCAGTTATATTGCACTATTGCACACACACACACACACACACACACACACACACACACACACACACACACACACCCCACACGAGGAGATCTGAGTGCTGAAACAGGCCAGAGAGTGAAGCATGAGTCTGACTTTGGAAACAGACGTGAAGGCCGAAGACAGCAGGACTGAAGAAACTCGGCTTTATCATGAGTCAACGGAAAACACATTTGGCCACATTTCCCCCTCCTGCTGCTCACACACACACACACACACACACAAGCATGCATGCATGCACGCGTCTTCATGCCAGCTGAACAGACGGCGCAGCGGGCAGAGAGACCCTCAATGTCAGACAGACACTAAAGGCCATTACTCATAAACCACACACACACACACACACACACACACACACACACACACACACACACACACACACACACACACACACACACACACACACACACACACACACACACACACACACACACACAAATACACACAAACACACACACACCTTTTTTTAAAGTATATGCAATTTTGCAGTTCATCAGTTTTCACATTTTCTTGAAATTTCTTGATTTACAATTTTAAAATGTTGTTTTTAATGTAATATAGTTACTGATTTATAACTAATATAGTAATATAACAGCTAATATAGTTATAAATTATTTAACAGTAAAATAACCTAATAATCAAAGAACTTAGGGCGCTGGTTTGAGTCCTGGCTGGGTCAGTTGGTGTTTCTGTGTGGAGTTTGCATGTTCTCCTCGTGTTGGCGTGGGTTTCCTCTGGGTGATCCCCCACAGTCCAAACACATGCGCTATAGGGGAATTGACCAAGTAAATTGGCCATAGTGTGTGTGTGTGTGTGTATGTATGTGTGTAAATGAGTGTGTATGGGTGTTTCCCAGTACTGGGTTGCTGGAAGGGCATCCGTTGCACAAAACATATTCCGGAATAGTTGGCAGTTCATTCTGCTGTGGCGACCCCTAAATAATAAGAGACTAGGCTGAAGGAAAATTTAACATTTTTTTTTTTCTTAATGTCCAATACACTCACCGGCCACTTTATTAGGTACACCTTACTACAACCGGGTTGGACCCCCTTTTGCCTTCAGAACTGCTTTAATGTTGCATGGGTACAAGATACTGGAAATATTCCTCAGAGATTTTGCTCCATATTGACATGATAGCATCACACAGTTGCTGCAGATTTGTCGGCTGCACATCCATGATGCCAATCTCCCGTTCCACCACATCCCAAAGCTGCTCTATTGGATTGAGCTCTGGTGACTGTGGAGGCCATTTGAGTACAGTGAACTCATCGTCATGTTCAAGAAACCAGTCTGAGATGATTGAGCTTTATGACATGCTGCGTTATCCTGCTGGAAGTAGCCATCAGAAGATGGAGACACTGTGCTCATAAAGGGATGGACATGGTCAGCAGCAATACTCAGGTAGGCTGTGGCGTTGATGCTCAATTGGTACTAATGGACCCAAAGAAAATCTCCCCCACACCATTACACCACCACCACCAGCCTGAACCGCTGATACAAGGCAGGATGATCCATGCTTTCATGTTGTTGAGGGCAAATTGTGAGCCGAGCATCCGAATGTGTGAGCAGAAATGGAGACTCATCAGAGCAGCAACGTTTCTCCAATCTTCTATTGTCCAGTTTTGGTGAGTCTGTGTGAATTGTAGCCTCAGTTTCCTGTTCTTAGCTGACAGGAGCGGCACCCGGTGTGCTCTTCTGCTGCTGTAGCCTGGTGTGTGCAGTGTGTATGTGAGAGCCCTTTGCTTTAATCTTCTTTTTTTCTCCACTGAACTCCATATAAAAGCAAGAAACTCTTTGGCTCAGGTCTATCTAAAGGCTTAATGCTGCACACAGATGATCAGCAGTAAAAACGACACACTGTACCTGTTAATCCCAACGGGGAAAACCAGCAACAATCAGGAATGCAGGATCATATGCTGTCATGGCTGTGCAATCAATAAATGTGATTATAATGGAAGTCAATAGAGCAAAAACAGCCAACATAACCAAAGAAGACATGAACAGTACCCAAGGGTTAAATAACCTCAGATAAACTCCACCACAGGCGTGCTCTGGACGAAATTATACATGCATGTCATTATTTTTAGCACATTTCATCACTGTTTGCTCAGATATAAATGGAGTGCTTCTCTTCATCAATAATGAACTGCTCTCCTCTCAGCCGCTCCTCTCTTCTTTCCCTCCTTCTCTCTTCTTTGGTAACTTCCAGAAGAATTTGTCCAGAAATAAAGCAAAGCTAAAAGAAGGAATCGTGCCCTTTCATTAATAATGCAGTGTCTGAGTGGACAGCTGGAGGCTTGCCTCCTCCCTTTCCTTCCTCCTGTAAGAATTGGTTTTCACTACAGCGGTTCAAACTTCTGCCGATGACTAAAGAATTATCAGCATGATGCTAAAAAAACTACATTTCTAGTCGAAGCATTCTTCATGCGATCTTACACCAAAAACGGAAATAAGGGCAGTATTAATAGCTTAAATGTGTGAGAGCGTTGTGATATCATGTGACTATATTGTATTTTAATATGGAGGAATTAAGTGTTGATGTTAAATCTCCAGTACTTCACAAATACTTGAAAATAAAATGATTTAATGACAATCATTCTCTATGGTTACAACCGATTAAAGTACAAAAAACTGTCTAAAATGATCACATGAAAAGATAAAAACATGTATCCAGCTTGAAGAATGAAGTTAGCTATAAAAGAGAGAGACAGGGGGAGAGAGCATGCCGGCCTCAAAGAGGCAGAGAAGATTCACTGCAGAGGAGGAGAGGAGCAGAGCAGGAGCAGAGTTTACCACCTGTTGAGTCTCTTTCTTAATCATGTGACCAAAACCCAAATACTGAGACATTCTGACCAATCAACCTGTGACCACATCGTAAAACCCCCAACGTCCACACACAAGGCCCTGACAATCAGTCTCTGCCTTGGGAATTTGTGTGAGCCTTCTTTAATGGAAACGATGCATATGATCATTTTCATTCCCACACTGCCTTAAATATTGTTGTCTCTTTTAACTATTTTCTTTATCGGCTCATTATTTTCACACTTACAATTTTCTTCAGTTAATTGTGATTTCTTTTATATTTTATTTGTGGCCTCATGTGTTATTAAATCAGACTACTGTACGACAATATCTTTGCATTTACACTAGAATTAGAATTAAAGCAGGTTTATTTTTCATACTTTCACATACTGTCAACAGATTCACAGCTTGTTTGTGCTGTCTGATTAATGCAACTACAGTGGATAAAGGTATTAAAGGATTTTACACATCATGATTTTCTGTAAATTTGCCCTAAATGTGTTTTATCAAGCTACTCCCTGCTGAAAACTCCGGCTTAAACCAGCCTAGGCTGGTTGGCTGGTTTTAGCTGGTCAACCAAGCTGGTTTTAGAGGGGTTTTGGCCACTTCCAGGCTGGTTTCCAGCCATTTCCAGCCTGGTCTTAGCTGGTCAGGCTTGGAGATGACCAGTTAAAACCAGCTTGACCAGCCTACCCAAGCTGGGAGTCCAGCCAAAACCAGCTATATCCAGCTTAAACCAGGCTGGTCAAGCTGGTTTTAGCTGGATTTGGCTGGTCATTTTCCAGCCTGACCAGCTAA